ATATATATATATATATATATATATATATATATGTGTGTGTGTGTGTGTGTGTGTGTGTGTGTGTGTGTGTCCGGTTAGTTACGGAGGAGAGCGAACCGGGTCGAGTCGGCAAACCACAGATTCCGGTCCTCTGCACGAATCTGCGGCATGGATCCGCAGCCGCCGTCCCCGCCACTCACCGCGGCGCTCCCCCGCGATGTGATCCACGTGTTCTGGCACGAGGGTATGCTCGACCACGACGCCGGCGCCGGAGTCTTCGACACCGGCTTCGATCCAGGGTTCCTCGAGGTCCTCGATAAGCACCCGGAGAACGCGGACCGGGTGCGGAACATGGTCTCCATACTCCGCAAGGGGCCCCTTGCCCCCTTCGTCTCGTGGCACCCTGGCCGCCCTGCCCACCTTTCCGAGCTCTTTTCCTTCCACACTGCCGGTACTGCCTCGTCTTCCGCTGCTACTGCTGCTTAATGAGCTTAATTGATATGTTATACTTTTGAGTATTAATGAGGTTAATTGATTCTAATTTTTGAGTTGCTCTTGGAGGATTTATCCCCTGTGTGCAAAAAGATAATGTTTTGGACCTTCTTGTGCGGTATATGTGGAGTCGTGTAGTGACAAATGGTCTTTGGATGGAGCAAGAAGTGTTACTAGTAAACTTTGATGGGATCCAGTTGCGGAGTATTGAGAAACTTCAATGGGAACCAGATATTAAGAAACTTTTATGGGATCCAGATGAGGATTTATGGTGAAAAATTGTGAATCAGTTGCAGCCAATTTATGGGTTAAGAATATCATCTGTTAGGAATATTTCGGTTTAATTCTGATCTCTGAGATAATAATATAAGCAACTTATTTTTGTTCGTGTAAGAACAAGCTCATTTATACGCATGTAGGCTTGTTGGGTATCCAAATCTGTAGAGCCATGTTGGTCACCCAATCACAGTGTTAATATCATGTCTTCTTTAGTGCCTGTTCATCCAGTCACAGAGTGTTAATTTCATGTCTTCTTTAGTGCCTTTAAGTGCTGTTTTTTTTTTTATCATAAATGACAGACATCTGCATAGGTTGCTGGATTTTTCATGCTTGCCTTCTTTTGTGCTACAGACAATGAGTTCTGTCCAAGTCTTTAGACATCGTATCTGCTACAAGGAATTCAACTAACACAATCTCTTTCTCTACATATTCAAATGTCTACTGAATTTCTGTAATAGATTGAGATAGTCTGTTGGGTGTTTGTCAGATGCTCTTGGAGGTCCATTTATGATGAATTAGATAAAGAACACAACTCTGAGCATTAGCAAATTTTGTTTGATATCTTCAAGCTGTATGTTCCTGTATCGATCTTGTCATTAAATCAAACTAAACCTTAATGGTTACTAATTGTTTTCTTTTCTCTCTGTCATCCTACCATGTCAGATTTGAAGAGAGACCGGATTAGTTATAGTTTAGGCAGACTAGATGCAATATTTTTCCTTCCGTATCTAGCCAAATGACTGGAGTATCAGATCAAGATTCCTTCCTATAAGTATGGAAGTTCTTGCTTTGCCTCATGTTGAATTGACAATGAAAAGTATGTGGAGCTTATTTTAGTGATGAAAGAAGCAGGTTGTTTAAATGATAATTCTACTTCTTTTATTTAAAAGGATTCTGAACGTGTAATTTCTAATGGTTCAAGTGGATAAGCTTCTCTTCCCTGGTAAGGCCATATGTCAAATTCGCAGTTACTGACATAGAGCATTGAAACAATTTGGTTCATGAAACAAGTTTTTTTGTTCTTATAATTACTTGGGTCCTACCTGTAAGGAGATGGATTTTTGACACTAGTCAATGCATGCTCTAAATGGGGATGGAGTCTGTGATACCTAGAAAGCATCATGTGCACATCATGCATAGAGATCAAGAATATTAATAAGTTTTTAGAAGAGAAAGTTGATGCTAGATGTACATGAACATAAGAAGAGAGGTATTAAGAAGATCAGTATCAGGTTCTGCCATCCCATATGATTTTGATGAGAAATTAAAGATGCAAAAAATTTATTTATCAGATAGATGTAAATGTTGGCCGCAATTTTGCTTAATTAGAAGGTTATTTTATATGCTAGCAAAGTAATTTTCATAAATCTACCATCTGCTCCATTGAATCAGCTTTTATATTTCTCCTTTTCATACTTCAGAGTATGTGGAGGAACTAGTACAAGCTAATGTAGCTGGGCATAAAGAGCTCTGTCCTGGCACTTTTATGAACCCTGGATCTTGGGGTGCTGCCCTTTTAGCCGCGGGAACCACACTATCAGCAATGAAATATATATTAGATGGAAATGGGAAGCTTGCTTATGCTCTAGTGCGGCCACCAGGTCATCATGCACAGCCTTGTAGAGCTGATGGTTATTGCTTCTTAAACAATGCTGGACTTGCAGTACAACTTGCTCTAGATTCTGGCTGCAGAAAGGCAGCAGTAATTGATATTGATGTGCATCATGGAAATGGTACAGCTGAAGGGTTTTATCGCTCAGATAATGTTCTGACAATCTCTCTTCACATGAATCATGGCTCTTGGGGACCATCACATCCGCAGAATGGTTCCATTGACGAAGTAGGCGAGGGCAGTGGGTTTGGCTACAATCTTAATATACCCTTACCCAATGGGACAGGGGACGAGGGGTATGCTTATGCTATGAATCAACTGGTTGTTCCAGCAATTCAGAAGTTTGAACCAGGCCTTATTGTTCTGGTTGTTGGGCAAGACTCTAGTGCGGTGAGTTGATATTGATGTTGAATTACTTTTTTGTTCCTCTATACGACTATCCTGGTCTGCTGATTTTCCTGTTCTGATCTTGTCAATTTGACTTTTAATGTGTGTGTGGGTTCTGCTTGCTTACCAAGTGATATCTCAAAAGTAGTGAAGTGCTATCAGGCAAGATAGATTATATAAGGTGAAAATAGATCATATATTGTATAATCAGCTAGAGAGAAGATTAAGATGCTTTTCAGGGAAGTATCCATATCGAATCATGTAGCTTCTTCTTGATTGATCTGTATTCTTCTTTATCTTACTAATGACTTCTGTCCTGCTTCAGTTTGATCCAAATGGAAGGCAATGCCTCACAATGGCAGGTTATAAGAAGATTGGCGAAGTAGTGCGCAAGCTGGCCGACATGCACTCTGAGGGACGCATATTAGTTGTTCAGGAAGGAGGTTACCATGTGACATACTCAGCTTACTGTCTCCATGCAACTCTTGAAGGAGTACTCAATCTTCCAGCCCCCCTGCTTTCAGACCCCATTGCTTATTACCCTGAGGACAAGGCCTTCACTGTCAAAGTTGTAGATTCTATCAAGCAGTACTGGAAAGAATGTATACCCTTTTTGGGTTAATATTATGGAGGTAATTATTTTCATGTCCTCATCTAAGTAGAAATGCTGGCAACAGAAGTCTATTTTGCTGAGATTGTAGCAAAGTAAAATGATCTGAGAATTTTAGCTTAGTGTCGTTACAAGTCTGTTGAAGTTATCAAACATGGCCCAAATCGTTTATCTGATTTAATATGGTCAATCCTAAAATTATAACATGTGGTAATGGGCACTTATTTGAAAGAAGGGGAAAATTGGTTGTGACCCATGGAACTTGGTGGAACTAAGGCGAAGTAGTTTAACTGGTTATAACATTAAGAACACCGACCTTCATACGGCCCAATCAACAGGATCGAACGACCGCAGCAGATAGTCCTAATTTTTTGTCTTATTATTCTAGTACATAGGCATCAAATTAGTCTAATTCTATACTGTTGAGAACTTCAAAACTCAGGTTAAGGGAACTTAGGACATGGCACAGGCTATGTTCAACTTTCTTAGCATAGATTGCAAGTTCATTACCATTTGAATTAGTAAGACAATTTTTGATGTTGATAAGACTCAAAAAAATGTAGTTTCGTTACTTTCCAAACAAGGAAACTGAATCATCTTACTTCAATATTCTCTTCTTTGTGTCAGGATCCATCTTTTTAAAGTGCAATCCTTCTTGTGGTAGACAAAGTCAGAAGATTAGTAGGATGAAGATAGCTGCTGTCAATTGTGTGAAAGGGATTTAGATGAAATTTCACTTGAAGAAGACACTGGTACATTTTCCATGTAAAAGCTTTTCTTCCTTGGTGGATGAGTTCCTCACTCCTTGTGACATGTATCTCTCCACGGGTTGGGATGACTCCATTGTCATTTCTGATATCGATATTAATGGCAGTGATCTGATAGTATTATTGTTGTTGTGGTGGTTGTGTATCTTATACTCTGATATCAGATAAGTTCGTGTTTTCAGATAATTAAGTTGCTTTGCTATTGCTAATATTAACTTCATTCCGATGTACCTGCACCTTTCTGGACCAGCGACAACAACTGCATCGCTATGCACTAATCACGGCCTCAAAGCCATTCCTTCCTTCAGTAGCTCAAAGCGACGTGGATTTAGTGTAGCCGTTTATATCTACATATGTAAAGGTCAAGATCCCTGCGTGTGATCAAAGGTTGGAATCCAGTTGGAGATGGGGCCCTCTTGTGGACCCTACTCTAATTTGACTCATTCCAGTATATATTGCATGAATTAGCCATATAAAGAGCAGCGAGCAAAAAAGGTGACAAGGTCTGCCGTCGCATCAGAGTATGGTGTCCGGTAGTTAAGCCGTGCGATCAGCGGCGTTGACCCGCCTGACGTTTGACCTCACTGACAGCTAAACGCCCCTTGGCTCTTGCCACCTCTCGTCCTCACGGCCAGCAAGGGTTCAGGGTTTTCTCCGTGTATGGCTCATTACCTGGAGGGTGGGTCCCATGACTTATCTGGAGTGGAAAATCCTGAACCCTGTCTGAGTCAGGGACCGACCATCGTCCCTACCCATTCTGGTGTTTCCTTTGCCACCGACCGAGCTACGTGCATGTGAAGCAAACTTGATCATGTGACGACATGATGACGGTTTCTGTCGTGCATAAAGACATCAGCTCATGCTTCAGAATTCGTGCGTGGACGAACCGAGATAAATGTTCGGGACGGATCAGCCGTTCCAACCATACTTCCAGCGGGATTGCGTTCCGTTCCCAAATAGGCTCATCAAATTCCAACAAAAGCCAAATACGCATGCCACTTGATACGGGACCCACAACACCCAGGCTTTAAGAGGCACGAAACATCTGATTGGCAGCTTTATGATTCGCACCTGTGTCATTTAGAGCTGGGCTTCACATTTATCACCATTTGTGGCCACCGCAGACATCTCCGTGCATCACGGCGTTACGTGGCTCCCTTCATCTTGACTCGACTAACCCAACCCAACCCAACCCATGGTTAGCGAACTGCCCTCCTTCCCTCCTCCTCAGGTCACTCGTCCACCTATAAATTATCCCTCCCTCCACTTTAAAAGCCGTGCCACGGCGAGACTGAGAGTTGAGAGTGAGAGAGTAAAATAAAAAGGGGGATAATAACCCAAAGCAACCTACCACCGCATTCCGACGCGCGCAAGAAGCAGAGAGGAGGCGTAATCCCAGCTGCATTGGTGTGCTCGATCTCTTTTCGTCTCAATATTGAGAGGGCTTCGGGATATAGGCGATTGGATCCTTCGCCGTCGTCGGGTTCCCGCTCCGGTGAGCTTGTTGGAGAGAGAGATCGCCGCCCGTGGACGGCCAGCGGACGCGGAGTAGATTGAGACAGAGGAGCGGGAGATCGGATTGTCGATGGCGAGGAGTAGCATCGCGTGCTAGAAGATGATGATTGAGATCAATTTCGTCTGGTGATTTCGAATCGCACTCGATTTGAAGTTTGGATCGATTTCTTTGTTATTTCTCCCCTTTCAGTATCAGTGCTGGATTTCAGTGCGCTGAAATGGAAATTATACTTCTCTGACTCGATGTGACTTGAAGAGGTAGAGGAGATCTTATTAGCTGATCCATGGAGCAAGGCATCTCGAGCTGGCATTGAGAGAAGTGGCGTGGATTTGTTTTGAAGGATACAGAGATTCGTCTCGCTCGAGCATTTCTTCTTGAATCTTCTTATTGAATCTCCAGAAGGATTTCTTAATAATTTCGTTGGATTGGATCTATGGAATCGAGAATGGACAGGTATGAGATAATGGAGCAAATTGGCCGTGGAGCCTTCGGTGCTGCGATTCTCGTGAATCATAAGCAAGAAAAGAAGAAGTAAGTTCAATAAATTCTCTTGGTAGTATTTTGCCCCTTTTGGAGTTTCGTTGGTCCGTTGCTTGCTATCTTTTGGATTTCAGGTATGTTCTGAAGAAAATCCGGCTTGCAAGGCAGACTGAGCGGTGCCGGCGATCTGCTCATCAAGAGGTCTGTCATATAGATGGATACTGTTTTTTTTAATTTTATACGTGTCAAATTTTCTAAGTATTCTAAACTATGGTATGCGTAGATGGCTCTTATTGCACGGCTTCAGCACCCTTATATTGTGGAGTTCAAGGAAGCCTGGGTGGAGAAGGTCTAGGAATAGTAAATCATGCATAGATGTGTATAAATTATCCGTTGAGCCAATGTCTAATCAGTGCTTCTGAATGCAGGGCTGCTATGTTTGTATTGTCACTGGATACTGTGAGGGAGGAGACATGTAAGTGTTTCAGTGCTATTTCTTTCATAGTTTTTCTTCAGTGTCAAGATTCTGGATTGCTTAAATTTAAATCTATTTCACCTGAAAGGGGTGAGTTGATGAAGAGGTCAAATGGAACATATTTTCCAGAGGAGGTAAAATTGATTTTTCTGATTGTTTGTTTACGTGCTTGAGGATTATATAATGTTGGCATTCTGATGTGTTTCTTCCTGCCAGAAATTGCTGAAATGGTTTGTCCAACTGTTATTAGCTGTTGAGTACTTGCATTCCAACTTTGTTTTGCATCGAGACCTCAAGGTTGGTGACAAGTTTGGCAACAGCTGCTTATATCTGCAGCTTATGCTGTTGTCTGATCTCTTCCATTGTGTTTTTTCACCTTTGTGGCAGTGCTCAAATATATTTCTTACCAAGGATCATGAAGTTCGCCTTGGTTAGTGACATGTGATGTCTAACTAAAAAGTTGAATACTTGTTCATTTGTTGCATAACTTTAACTTCTCTTTTGTTTTGTTTCACAGGGGATTTTGGGCTTGCTAAAACCTTAAAAGCAGATGATCTGGCTTCTTCTGTATGTGATATGTGATAGAGATCCTTATGATAAATTCTTCTGGAGTACATCACCCTCTGATTTTTTTTCTGGATTTGTTTGGAAACAATGCATTTAATCTAATGATATATTGGTTGTGCATGATTAATTTAGTTATTTTTATTCTATGAATACAGTATGTGATGATATAGGTAATGCCATTTGGTGTGAGTACATCAATATTACCAGAATGATATACTTAATATCAAGGAAAAGTTTGAGTTGCCATTTCACTGATCCAAACGACCACGAACCTTGATGTACATGGCTCCCAACACAATTTTGTATTTGATATATTCACTTTTCCAGAGTTTGTATTCAGTATTTTAATTTTTTTCCTAAAATGGGCTAGTAAATTTGCTTTCATAGCTCATATTTATCATCAATAGTAGCTTCTTTATGATGGGTAACTGTATTGCTGTGTTTTCTTTGGTCCTTGACTTCTTATGTTTCTGTATCAGGATTAATACTGGTAGTGTCATCCTGACCAGAGTTTTTGTGTCAGCTTTTTGTTGTCATTTGAGTTGGTCTTTGCACTGTAAATTATATTGTCACTAGTTGACAACTTTGGGAAATTTATATTACAACACAAACAGACAAGAGTGTCTCCCAAATATTTCACTGTTGAGCAACATCTTCATGATTGTAGAGATGTTTGTTTCATGTACAACTGAAACTTACAACAGTTGATAACATCACAAAACATGTGGAATTGCTAATCAAGTGTCAGTCCTTACCATTCTATATAATATTGTCCTATGGTTTGTCAGGCAAATTTTGCTGTAAGAAAGATCATTTATAATCAGGGCAATTGTATCAAGTAAATCTTTAGTTATTTCTGTTAGGTCTTCAATATCTTATGTCTTGGTATCTGATTGAATTCACAGCTCCGTAGAACTGAACAAGGAGAAAATTATGGTCTTTCAAGTAGCTCTTTAGATATTTGAATTTTATATGCATGTTTTTATTACTGACTTGTAAAAGTCAAATAGTAAAATTTGAAGTACATTAAAATTAACACCTGTTCCAATAGTCTGCTAATTCTGAGTTAAATCAGATGTACCATAATTCCAATAATTTTGCAGCAGTTTGGGCAGTTTAGTGCTGCCCAATGTGTCTGGAATTTTGATGAGTATAACCTCCTTGTATAGGTTGTTGGAACTCCCAATTATATGTGTCCAGAGCTCCTTGCTGACATTCCTTATGGATTCAAGTCAGATATCTGGTCTTTAGGTATGGTTGCAAATTGAATGTGCTAGGTAAGGTGCCTTTGCTGTGAGTAGTCTAGATCATGACTAATGTTGAATTGGTTGATCAGGTTGCTGTGTGTATGAAATGGCTGCGCATCGACCTGCCTTTAAAGCTTTTGTAAGTTTCTTGCATATTCAGTTAATTACATCATTTGAATATTGATGCAAAAGCAAAGAAATAAATACCTTAGGGCAGGCTTCCCTTTTTGTAGCAGTGTAATGAATCCTGTGGTTATTTATCAATTATCAAAACTATTTTAATCATCTTTGTTAGTTATAAACTATTTTCCTTAAGTCCTGATCCTTCAATTAGATTCATTCTCAAGTCCTGAAGTGATTGAGGTTTAATTAGACTAGCATATTTCATCACTCACATAGGCTGTTAAAAACTTAAGATAGTTTTTCCAAAAGTGAAGACATAGAAAGCCCTATAGTTTGTCATGTTGAGAAAGCAACTTGAGGATCAAAATGTTTCCCTATGAAAGAAGAAAAATCCAAAGTGATAGCAGAGGATGATGCAGGGGTGGGGATTGTCTTCTCAACCAACTTCTTTGTACTCATTTCATTTCATTTCATTCACATTTTTCTCCCCTTTTTATTTTTCTATGATTTACTCTTCTTGTGCTATGTAAACTTATCATGGTGTTACAGATACTGTCGTCTAATCTATGTGCAATGTTTTTGAAGTCACAACTACTTGTTGTTGACAAGTAGTCTTACCCAAGCTACATGAATCTAAAACTGGATAGGGAAGAAAGCTTATATCTAAAGCATGGTATTTTGAAACCATGTGCTGGCATGTCTCTAAATCTACCTATCCATCACAGAACTGGACTCTTATTATTAAGATTCAGAGCTGGAAAAAGGAGATCATTATATTTCTTGCTTTTCTTCACAATTTTCAATCAATGGGCTAGAATAACACTGTTTGTACTATTGGTTGATCACTGTTCAAACTAACCTCTTTCTCTGTGACATTGTTCCTGCTGCAATCTGTTATTGGAAATTGTAGTCAATGGCTTGAGCTATTAAAATTTGATTATATTCATATATATGTGCTTCCTTAAATCTAAGCCATCCCTTTCCTATAATGCATTTGTAAATTTGTAAAAACCTGGTAACAAATATAGTAATAGTCTCCATTTCCCATCAGTCTGAATTTGAGAATGCTCATCAATATTATTCAATCTCTGTGCTAGTTCGTACTTGAATTGAAGGATTTTAAAAAATTAACGACAAGTGCATTTTGGCAAATTTCTGGTAAAATTTGTTGCAAACAAGTAATATTTGTGTGTTTTTTAATGTGATAATTGCATCTCCAATTTAATGTCAGAAGCTTGGCTATCTGCATTGTCTCTTTAAAACCAGTGAAACAGACAACTAAACTGATCTGTAAACTTATGTTTTGGAACTTAAAAAGTGTGGTTTGGGGTTTGCCAAGAGTCATGTAAATGGGGCACAAATATAGGTTTTGGTGGCCACTACAACATATATGACCATGTCACACTTTGTGGAAATTCAGTATAGCATTTGCCTTTTCCTCCTTCAATCACAAGTTTTCAACATTGGTATTTTTACACTAAACCCAAGGTTAGAAACATAGACCTAAAATTGAGCTGCTGGGCCTTGTCCACTTCCATCTATGTTTCTTTAGGTGCTCCATTTTCTCTAATTGTTAAACAACAACAATAAGAAACCATAATGGGCCAACTATTTGGGGTCATCTACAGGGATCTTTTCCAACCAAAAATATTGATATTTTCTTTGTCCATTTATCAGTGTACAGTGTCCATCAGTTTTAAGTAACAAATCAGTTTAAGAACAGGAATAAAGCAATATTTGTTTTGGCATACTGGTATTGTTCAAGTTTTACAAGTTTTCTTGTTGCTGTTTATGGTCACTTAATTATTGTAGCATGGGTTGCAATTAGTTGATGCGTCAGAAACTAATTTCAGGATATGGGTGGTTTAATAAGCAAAATTAACAAGTCCTCTATGGGTCCGCTGCCGGCTTGTTATTCTTCTTCCCTGTGAGTATTTGATGAGCCTTTAATTTTTTTCAAATTTCTTTTGCTGAAGTTGTGATTCATCACCATGTGCATCCAGTCGAGAAAGTTACAATTAATTCCAGCAGGGCCTGCATTATTTGTATTTCTAGTTCTTAATGCTGGATTATGGCAGAATGATCTCATTTTATGTCATTGGCCATTGTTTTATTTGTCTTTCACCATGATATTGTAGCTGAAACATATAATTTAGTTCAGAGATGTCCTTGTATATTCAAAGCTTGGCATTTTGTTTTGTTCTAGTGGTGTTTTATTTTATCCTTGTCTTTTGGCAATGTAACAGTCTTTGTTGTTGCTTGGACTTAGTGGCAAATACCGACTATTGAAATAATGATGTTGATGGCCATCTCTTAAGTTCATCCCACTCCTATGTTCAGTAATATCAATGCAACTTTAAGAAGTGTTGAGCAGTTTGGATCTGGTATGAACTCTGGTAGGGTCAACTGAGTCATTGTCTAGCCAACTTAAAAACATGGAACCCAGTTTGTACTTTTGAACTTGAGATATGCATTCAGGGTCCCATATTGTCAAGGACTGCAGCTGGAATATTTTGGAAAGCTTTGGAAATGATTTTCAAATTCAACGAGGACTCCTAGGGATTGGAATAATATTTCTTTTATTTTTTGTTATTTTTTGGAATGATTTTCACAATTAATTCTAAAAGTTATTTTAAGGAGTTCTTAGAGTGTTTTAAGTCTGTTTGTGTCTGAAAGTTTGAAAATTGTTACTAATTAGAAACTGTAATTGTAGATTTCTAGGTGTCTTTTTTGGTCAGAGTTTGTAAGGTGGCAATATCATAAACGTGGATCATTTTAAGCCCAGATCTTGGATACTTTTTTATGCAATAACAGAGAACAGTTTTTCAGACCATTGAACAATCTTTTTTCTAATGACACTCATTCCTCAATATGTTTCTCCTGAATATTTCTACCATAAATGACTCATTGTTGCTAACAAGTTTTACTTGGACAGACCAGGAATTGTATTCTTTACTAAATATTTGCTTTCAGTTTGCTAATTTGATGAGCTAATACACATTTTTCATGCAGGAAAGCAATCACCAAAAGCATGTTAAGGAAGAATCCAGAAAATCGGCCGAGTGTAAGCCCTTTAATTTATCTTCTCCATTTATGTGCACGTGCACCTGATTACTTGCACCTTTTTTGCTCCATGACCTCATCTAAAAGTTCTTTGATTAAACCCAAACAGGCATCTGAAATCCTACAACACCCTTATTTGCAACCGTTTGTCAATGAACACCGCTCATGCCCTGATCGAATTATAAACCAGCCACCAGAGAAGCCCATCTCCACCTCACAAAGCAATCAAAATAACATGTCTGAAAGTCAAAATGACAGCATTTCCAGCAGTGATAAGGATAGTTTACAGTCAGGTGACTGTAACACTTCTGGTTCAGTGGTCGACTGCCATCAAAAGGCACTTGGAAGAGACAGTCCTTTAACTGATGATGGAGTGTCTTCTAACAAGTATACTCCTACAGAAGATGGCACACATGGTACTGGCATCTCCAAAGCTGCTATGGAGAGAACAGGTTCAACAAAGTTCATACACATTGATCAGCAGCCAAAAGTTGAATCTAATCAGTCAAAAGCTATAAATAAAATGACGGTGGCCATGAAAGAGGAAGGAATAATCAGAGGAAGCAGTTCTCTGGTGAGAGCAACCCGTGTAAAAGTTGTCACTGGCTCCAACCACAAGACTAGCCCGGAACCAATACCTAAGTTGTCCAAACCTATTGGCACCAGTTCAACTTTGAAGTCTAATTCAGAAGGCCAGGCTGATGAACCTGCCAAGACAAATAATGATCCTGCAAAAGGTGATTCCAGCCATAAATCTGGCACACATGCATCACATAGGGCGTCCGAGCCTATTAGTGCCATTTTAATTTCAAAGTCTAATGCAGAAAGGCAACATGATGAACCTGCCAAGACTAATAGTGATTCTGAAAAACAAGTACAGGCATCACAGAGAAATAAGCAACTGGTAAGATGAGCTCACCAAAATCATTTATGCATTTTTTTATACTTCCAATCTACGTCTCATTGATATATGTTGCAGTTACCAGTATCTGAGACTTCTCCAAAAACTAAAGCCAGATACGATGGTGCTTCACCACCAGCTCCTGTCAAACAAATCACAGAAGATTATATGCCTCTAAAGACAAGGCAAAGGACTCCACCATCCAGTATGTCTAGGAAGCAGACTGTACCTTCCAAGAAACTTTCTGGAGTTGATCATTCTCCAGTTGAAAATGGGATCAAATGTGTTCCAGCCAAATTAACTCAGGAGCCTGATATTGGTCTAAGCAAAGATTGTTGTCACCCATTGGAAGTCAATGGCCTGCCAGAGGAGGTTCCTCTAGATCCTTCAAGAGGAATGAAGACTGACGCAGGTAATCAAAATGTTCCATCTGTTTCAACTCAAGAATCTCCAAAAATAGTTGTCAAGATGCAAAAACAGTTTTCCTCAAACACTGCAGCTAATTCTGCTGAGGAGGGTTTGCTCCCTGAAATTTCTGAATCAAATCTGCCAATGTCTTCATTATCATCATGTACATATCCACGACTTGATTATTCATCAGCAGAGAGTCATGAGAATGGAGGCAGACCTACTCTGAATTTGGAGGTCAGCACAGTGGACTTGCAGAATAGTACCTCAAGTAACGATATGAGTTCGAGTTCACTTCTAGAGCGAAACTTTTCTATCTCTGAAAAAGATGTTGTTTACAAAGATGATGTTTCTTTGAACAAGCTCGAACATAATCCAATTGTCATGCGGACTGGAGTTGACAAGTTCACTGTCAGAGAGCTCCTCTCTTCCATGACAGATATTGGGAGTTTTGTTTCATCAGCTCCTAAGAACGCTTCCCTGGGAAGTCTACCAGCTACGAATCAGACCCTGGAAAAGCCAGCAGCATCACATTTAAACCCTGTTTTTGATGATGTCATACATGTCATAAGGCACAGCAGCTTTCGGGTTGGTGTTGACCAGCCTATCTCAGATAACAAGGAGGAAAGCGTTCAAAACATTGGTTTGGGGAAGTTATTGAACGTGGTGCAAGATGAGGTTGAAATGAGAAGCATATCAAATGTTCTAAAGCCCACTGGATTTGTTGAAACGGTGACCCTCAAGACGAATGCCTCAGAAAGCAGCATTAATGATAAGCCAGATAGCTCAGAAACAGTGAGATCAAGTTCCACAGAGACTAGATCAGCTTCATCAGAACAAACCATTGTGTCGAAGGAAGAGGAAACTCCAGCTAAAGAAACTTTGGATGTGAACTCTTTTAGACAGAGGGCAGAAGCCCTCGAAGGGTTGTTAGAACTTTCGGCAGGTCTTCTGCAGCACAACAGGCTGGAAGAACTTGCGGTAGTTCTAAAGCCCTTTGGGAAGGATAAGGTTTCCCCACGAGAAACTGCAATATGGTTAGTGAAGAGCTTCAAGGGAATGATGAGTGATGACGCCAGCCATGCAGCATGAGGATTCTATCATTTTCTGTCTTAGCTAAAGAGGTACGTAACTCCCATGTTTACCCTTATTCTTCGCCAAATTTTTCTCCATATTCGTGGTTGAGATGGTGTATATAGTTGACATGTGAAACTGATAGATAGGCCCTTTGTTTTCTTCTTTCATTAGAATGCCTAGTAGCAAGAAACCATAGATGCATGTTGTGGCAAGTGTTATATCGTATTTTATTGGTTCTTTATTTATCTTAATGTATACAAGTGAGCAGAACCTACACTCGAAATCAGATTCGATGTGTCTGTAGTATCCACATTTCCATTTAATGCTGTCCTATTTAGTTGCTTTGTATACAAGATATTTAGTCAAATGCAAGAGCCGGAAAAAGATGATACATGGTATATTATACTCTACTCTGTGTGGGGACTCTGTCTTACTCATACTGGAACAATCATCTAGTATATTGGTATCATAACAAAGGGTGGCAGCAGTAGCTTTTCTCCGCTTTTGAATAGAATTTGGAAGAGGCCGGAGGATAAAATTTTTACGAGGATTGAACTGAAAGCAAGGCTAGGATAAAAAAAAAGTCTTATGATTTATATTGGGAAAAATGCTGTTTTTGAAAAGCTTCTTTACTTGCCATGCTCAAGTCTATAGGATAGAATATTTAAAATGCATTGAAGATCTGATCTCATCATATGTGACTGCTACTGAATTCCTCGTTATTACTTTAGACTCCTCATGACAGAATTATTCCCTAATGAGGATTCTGTGACCATAAACTAAAGCGGTGTTTAAATAATCGGGTTTTCTTTGGAGTAGCGGTGCATACTATACTTGCTATTGTTGATGAACATGGAACAATCGAGTTAAAAACAAAGTTCATTAGCTACCTAAATCATTTGAAAGCTAACAAGACTAATATTGATTTATAATAATATAATAAGTATATTATAATTAATTTTTAATTTAAGTATTTTAATATCTTAATTAGTTTCACATCGAAAGTAGACAAGATTAATATTGACTTTCAAATATCATACTATTATCAACTTCAGCTTAAATATTATGACTAATGGTTTAAGTCAAATGAAGTCGACAAGTTAGTTAGTCCATTAGACTCGAGTTATGATATTTAGTATTAGAACTCTAAGAAAGCTAGAATATGAAAGATGTATTCATGGATGGAGTCAAAGACTCCATTGGGCTACACCTCATATGCATTATACTTGAAACTTGAATCTGATCTAAGCTATGTTGCGTCTTGACAAAGACGTCAAGTTTAAAATTGTAACATTTCGATTAGTCCCACGTTCAAAATGGATAAGACTAAGATTGACTTATAAAAATTTAATGAATATATTATTATTAACTATTTGGATCAACAAAATTGAAGAGCAATTAAGCCTGTCAGGCGGCTCGTGACATTTAGCCATCCAAGCCCATTGGAATCATTCATGGTCCGCTAACCCTTGGTGCATGATGTTCTCATGTTCCCCTACATCTTTTGCTGAATAACTTGAAAGGTTCTCTGATATATATATATATATATATATAGATAGTTGAGGTTAGGATCTCAAACTTTATTCTAACGTGTTAAAAGAAGAGATATCATATTTATGCTTTTGGTAATTTGTTTTATTATTGGTCGTAGAACAGCATTTTCTTTTATATACGGTTCATGAGATGGCATGAGATGTCCATCGAAATTAGATCAAACTAGCGGCATTAGTACTTATGTACTTACTATTTTCCGAGTTATCATTACTACAAAGGAATTATCCATTATGTAATTAAGTTAAAATATAATTTTATAAATACGCCTAATTATGATTTTGAGATCTTCATCGGCTCACAAGTTTAGTAACCAAAAATAAAATCAAGATTACTCTTTAGTTAGTTTTTAGAATTTAATTATGATTAAGGAAGAAGAAATGTTTGAGAAAACACAGTAGAAAAAAGAGAAGATAAGAGGAAACAAAGTAAATATATACTGCAAGTCTCATTATTATGTTTTTAGGGAGAAAACTTGCAAGCTTCGACTGCCACAACAAGCCGCACCTGTGCGTTTATAAGCCACACTCGCTACTCCGCTCCTTCAACCACTCTCTCTCTCTCTCTCTCTATCTCTCTGTGTGTTGAATTCTCTTGTTTGGATCGATCATGGCGAAGGACTGCGGCATCCACGGTAAGCACAAGCGGCACAAGCTGTTTCTCCGGCTGTTGGCGGCCTTCCTGTCGTTGGTGGTCGTCCTCCTCCTCGCCGTCCTCATCGTCTGGCTCGTCCTCCGCCCCACCAAGCCTATGTTCTATCTCCAGGACTTCTCCCTCCTCCAGTTCAACTTCACGCACGGCGACGCCGCCCTCCTCACCTCCGTCCTCCAGGTCACCCTCTCCTCCCGCAACCCCAACGGTCGCATCGGCATCTACTACGACCGCCTTGACGCCTACGCCGCCTACAAAGGCCAGCAGTTCACCGCCGCCACTTTCCTCCCGCCCGGCTACCTCGGCCACAACGACGTAGCCATCTGGTCCCCTTACCTCTACGGCACCGCCGTACCCCTCGCCCCTTACCTCGCCGACTCCATCTCCCAAGACGAGAGCGCCGGTTACCTCCTCCTCTACGTCCGCGTCGACGGCCGCCTCCGGTGGAAGGTCGGCACCTGGATATCCGGCCACTACCGCCTCCAGGCCAACTGCCCTGCTTTCCTCATCGTCGACAGCGGCAAGTCACAAAGCGACGCCCCGGCGCCAATCGTCCGCTTCCAGCAGAACACCGCCTGTAGCGTCGTTGTGTGACGAGGCCATTGACGACCATCGACTATGGCGGTGACGGTGACGGTGACGTGCTTCTACCTCCGTCGTCTTCTTTCACGTTTCCGTTTTGACGACGTTTTAGTGACCGTGGCTGGTCTGTTTTCTTTCTTACTTCTCTTCCTGGTATGGTATATAGTATAGTATTAAATAGGTAATATATAATCTTTTGACGCAGAAATAAAGAAACAGTAATTGCGTTTTTAATAATGGTTATATATATATATATGTGTGTGTGTGATTCAGGTTGGGAAATTTACAAGAAAAGGGAAGTATAAATGCCATAATTCGGGCACCTCCTTGTTGGTCTTCTATGATTGTGATCAATGCGAGTCGTGAAACGGCATACGATTTATTTATTGTGATCACCGTTCATGGTAAAGTGTAGGATAGAAGAAGTGGTTTAGAAGAAGGGAAAGGTCAGTCCATTCAGTATTTGTGCGCAATCACATTAATAACATGCAAGCTTATAATTTAAATCCTTAAACCTTAATATTAAAGGGTAAAAAGTTTAATCAGCTACGTTAGATGACATCTTTTGAAATAATATTTTTATATAAATATATAATTCATATATATATATATATGTATAATTATAATTATAATTATAATGAACATTCTGTAAAAAGGGTAAGAAGTTTTGCATATCTATCCTTTCATAGATTCGATATACAACATATGAGGCATTGCATGCATATATATGCCTACAAAAATTTAGGTTTTCCATATAAAATATTTATATCAGATTCATAATTTCTGCACTATGTGGGTGACAAGAAACAAAGGATGGTTTTGGTCAAAACTAGTTCTAGGAAGAAAAGCAAGATACACATGACCATTCAATCTGGTTAACTTGAGAAATTACCAATCACTGATCAACTAGGTAGAAACCAGAACACTTGCAGCATGACACAAACACTAAATCCCCAATGGTTACCACAATATATATTAAAGCATGTGGCGAGTTCAGTAAACATAATTCTGCAGAAGGAAAAATAGCATTTCGGTAAACAAAGACGCTCACCATCAGAATATGAAGCTGACACAAACAACTTGCTGGCTTTTCCGACGTAATTAATAGCTTGCAGCAGCGAAGATAATCCAGAGGCTTTTTTTAGCTGCAAGACTAACACACTCGCAAAGAGACTATACTGACATCAGCTTAAGTCACCTCTTGTCTGCTTTTCTAATTCAGAGGTGTTTTCCTTGCAAGATGCCCCAATCCAGGACTCAGACTTTACAAGAACCATTGTCATTTCTTGCTTGCCTTCATCAACTCCATGAATTCCCTAAAAGCTGCAACACAAGAACATGATGATCGCACAAAGAGTGATCAAATTCCACTTGACCTAATTACGCTTAAGTCGAACATCATGATTGGAATGTTGATTCAGCAAATATCATACATATTATCTTCAAGATTTTAGAATGTCCTAGCTGTATAGAATCCACCACTACCTTTAAACATCAAAGGTACTGAATCTTATCTTTATTCCTAATAATTAAATGTCAAAGTGGGCATTTCAATGCCTTGTGAAACTACAGGAGAAATTAGTTAAAGCTTGATATAAAACTAAATGTACTGGGATCTTGCATCATGTTTTATATCTTCCATAGCATAGAACACATGTTGCTATCCTATTCAAACCCAACCCGAGGATGTGACCAAGATTGTTTACGGCCATTTAAAACTCTGGATCCAGGCCATATGATACAATAAGAACCCAACACCAATGTCCGAGCATATAGCTACAAACAAAATTTTCTGCACCAATATTCGAAAGTTTTGTCAAAGGCCAACTTAAAAGAACTCTTTCAGCTCATATCAATTTAGTGGTTGCCAAGTCTACCCATATGTACCACATAACGAAGCTGATGTTACAACCACATGTGCAATTAGAACTTGTACTGAAAACTTGATAGGATAATAATGCCATGATTCATGGAGTTCATACCTATGAGATGAGTCCACTTTGCTTATTGCAACCATACCACGAATCCAATTGTAACAAAACCATCCATGGTCTTTTGCAGAAACTAGACCTCAAGAACCTTACATGTGAAAACTATTGGCGGGCACAACCTTCCTAAGGTAAGCGTGTCCAAAAAGTGACCTAATAGTGACAATAGAAGTATTCATCTAGCCTTATGCTTCTCTAACCCAACAAGAAGACCCAAGTTAAATGGGTTTAACTAGCTCAAACATAACTCACATCCACCTTAATGTTCAGCCAAATTTCAGCTTAAACCCAAGACTATAACTGTCAAGTACGGGCCACGTAGCTCTCTACCATAGATGGTCCTAAGTTCCAACAGAGTATGCTGAATATGCTAATATTTTTATACACTATGTGCTAATTGGCATATAATCACATGGATTCCCTGTGATTTTGCGCTTCAACAATCAAGCTGGACCCTTCACTTGACCTAATTACTTAACAAATGTGAATAAAATATGGTTTTTTTGTATAGTTTGATGGTTAATAGAGTTTTGTTGATTCAATTATAATCTCAATTTTGTGTCAGATATACACACCAAAGAATCATTCAACTGATATTTCTATCGACTAAAGAAAATGATAACAGACAATAAATAATTCTTACCAGGATCAGAGTCATGGGGCCCAGGAGAGGACTCTGGATGGTACTGGAGGGACATGAGGTTTAACTCCGCACAAGCAAGGCCAGCACAACTTTTATCATTCAAATTTATGTGTGTTACTTCAACCCCAGCAGGAAGGGATGCAGGGTCAACTGCATAATTATGGTTCTGCCAGAACAATACAATAGATATCAGAAAAGGGGGGAAAAGAACTTGCAGGTTGACAAATTAAAGAATCTAAATTTTTGAAAAAACAAACGATTTGAAAGCATGAAAGGAATAAAATTATTGATGGGGTTTATTATATAAAAAAAGTTCTAAAGTAGAGGCATCACAGAATATTTGATGTTAAAAGTTGTGCTCTACTTTGGCTCTCTCAGATAAGTTTCTCCCAAGAAAAAATATTAATTATCTAGAAGCTAGATATCTCCAAGGAGTGGCTTTCTGGCCTTAAGCTCATCAGGCAGATTGATGATTTGGAAATATGAAAGCTAATCATTCAAATCAGAGTGGTGGAAACCAAGAGGAAATAGCAAAGAAACAGTATTAACCTTAACTAAATAAGATAATACACAAACCTGAGCACTTATCTCAACACGTCCATTCCGCAGGTTGCCAACTGGATGGTTACCACCGTGATGACCAAACTTCATCTTGAACGTCTTGCCACCCAAAGCCTGGCCAAGCAACTGGTGGCCCATGCAAATTCCAAAAACTGGAACCTTACCAATTATTTCCTTTACTGTTTCCACTGCATAAGGAACTGCAGCTGGGTCTCCAGGACCATTGCTAAACAGAACACCATCAGGTTTCATTTTTAATGTCTCTGTGGCAGGCCAAGTTGAAGGCACAACTGTGACTTTGCATCCATAGGATGCCAGGCGCCTCAAAATGTTATGCTTGATGCCAAAGTCATATGCAACAACCTACCACCAACACGAAATGTAAAAAAGAAAATGAATTTTCAGAATAACACATCTAACCCAGTAGCTTGTCATGGATATAGTTATACTAACATGAAAATTCTCAACTTGGTTCTGATCTTTGTGGAATTCCCATTCTGAATGTGTTTTCTGAGACCAAACAAATGGGGCTTTACATGAAACACCACTGATCAAATCAACACCTGCAAAAGAAAAGAATATGTTTTCTCATCATGATACCAAATTATAGAACTAACCAATCTCATGTGATTTTTATCAAGTAACCAACCATCATATATGAACAAAAAGTAACCCCAGAACATTGTTCTTACTGCAATCAGCTAACGTCGCAACTAATCAAATCAATAAGTGAAAAAAATAATTACAAGACAGAGGTTGGTGTTTAGACATAACTCCATGCTTCTTAGTTTCCTGTATTAACATTATCCTTCTAGTTAACCTTATGGGTTAAGGGAAATCATCAAAGTTGCTCTGGTGTTGGTTGTACTTTTCTAGATTCTAAGAAACTGAATGTTTGCTTTCTGTAATTGAAGCCCCACTTTGTTGCCAAAATATATACTGCAATATACACATCAAGTTAGCAGTTGAAGGCAAGTTATAAGTAGTTTGATTTAAATCAAGTATCAAGTTTAGCAGACCACAGCAATATGATCGATCATAGTAATACTCTGACGATCAGACCAATATTGCAATTAGATGAGTCTTCAGTTGGAAAGATCTTAAAAGCCTGCAGAATTTCAATGTGTCCCAACATAAATCAAGATTAGTGAAAAACCATAGCTTGGGAGAGTTGCCAATCAGAAACCTAAGGTCCTCGTTGTCGATTCTCCATATGGTAGTAAGGATTCAACAAGATCATTTTTTCTATTACTATCATACTACAAACAGCATTTCAGGTATAAAAACTGCATAAATGAGATCAAAACAAATAGAGGCTCCAACTTAAGCTATCACTATATTACCAGGTTATTGAAAAATCACAATTCATAAGAAAAAAAAAGCACTAGGGCTAATACAAAAACTATTGTAAAAAAAAAAAGCCTTTACTGGATTAGTTTAACACCAGTTTCAGATACAAAAAAGAATTTTACAAAGTAGAAGAAATTATAGTATATGAACCTAAATCCTACCAACAATTTTCCATTTATGAGCAATTTCAAGCAAGTCTTCATCTGTTTGAGATTCTTCAGTACTTAAGACACCAATAAGGCTTCCATCTTGTCTCAATCTTCGTGTTATTGCACGAGTGTCCACATCATCTGCACCATGACCCCACAAGAAAATGAGAAAGACATGAATTGAACTAAGACTAAATTAAAATAAAGAAGTAATTGCAGGGCATGTCTCACATATGCCCATGATGTTCCTCTTTGCTAAGTAATCACCAAGAGATTCCGTGCAACGCCAATTTGAAGTGCTAATGGAGGCACATAAGAGTA